TAATTTTTGGTTGATTGTAATCTATTACATACCTTTCTATCAAAGTTATCTGACATTATTAAGCTGAATTTGTTCTGACTCAGTTTAACTCTGAGTTCTTGTCATATTTTATTACCATTTTCTAAACTATAGCGAATAAACTGTGATAATGTGAGAAAAGATGAAGGTGTCTAAATAGATTTTGGTTTGACTGTATCTATTTGATAAATGAAGTTAACCAACTAACATTATACATACTCTTTTGGTTTCTGTACCCAATATTCTAAACATTTACAAATGCAATAAAAATACTGGTATCGGTACTCGGTATCGGCAAGTACCAAAAATAAAAGTATCGGTATCGAGCGAGTACTGGAAAAAGTGGTATCGGTGCATCCCTAGTTACAAGGTTAACAGGTGTTTTTGGAGTAAGATCAATTTCTCTTTCATGAGATTACTTCCTCTTTTTGACTGGGTTTCGTTTCTCCGTGCTGTTAACTCTAGGGGCGAGGCTTCTAAACCGATACATACGATACATAAACCAACATACGATCATTCGTACGATGAGATTGACGGCATACAAATGTTTCCTGAATCACACGTGAACTCTGTCGTAAGTTGATTTGTGCGCACGGATCTGCGCTCGTTTCTACGTTAGATTGATAAATGAGGCCCACTGAGCTTTTGATGTTGAACTCTTCACTTTATTATGATGAACATTACAACAACTGCCTAGGCCAGGGGTTCTCAAAGTCTACATTCAAAGGTCCAAATCTGAATTTTCATCAAATGTCAAAGTTCCGGAACAATTGGCTATTACAAAACTTGTTGTTTAATAAACATGCATAACAAATCAACACTAATAATAAAAAAAAAATAGTTATTACATTAATAACAAGTGCAAATGTGTCAAAACAATTAATTTAAGTGTCAGCAATATAGGTATGGGTTTTTCTCTGGCTGATGCCGATATTTAGAAATCAGGGCAGCCAAGGGCCTATTATTTTTTTTTTGGCCGATATGTTTGGCCTAGGGATGCACCGATGTATCGGACGATTTTTATTTATTTTAAAGCCATCGTCATGTCGGAAATAGCATGAGAAGGGCCGATACCGATGGTTTATTAATTAACTGCATGGAGACAACGAGTTACATGCCTGTTGCATAATCCAACGATTTTATCTGGGCAAAATAATTAAATACTTGCCAAAACAAAATAAAATCTGTACAAAATATAGTTTGTCAGACGGCAGCATTAGTACGGCCTATGCAAATGTGATGCTGACGCATACAACGAGTGAAATGCCCGCTCTCAGCTGTAAATTCATCATAGGTCAGGGCTCCAGACTGCGACCAAATAGTCGCATTTTGCGATCATTTTTCCTGCTGGTGCGACTGCAAAAGTCCAGGTTTTAGAGGTGGCACTGGTGCGACTGCAAAATTTTAATATAATTATATTTACAATTAATGAACAGGCGATTTCGTTAACGGCACATCCAGTCAGTCTCTTGTTTTTATGAGAAACATTAAACGGCGAACGAAACTGAAAGCATAACGAAACCGCGCTACTCGTTTGAACTGCGCAGCACTTAGAGAGTGCAGAGCCTGGATTATACTTGCCGAGTCAGGATGAGCGTGAAGGTGCACGCAGCAAAAATGATGCGAATATTGAGGAAACGATGGATGGTTTTCAAGCTAAAGTAAAGTAAAAGACCGCTTCTTAAACTAGAGAAGGTCAACATGCATGTTGGTATTCTTGTGGGAAAAAAAACATTCAAGCACTGTCACCGACAGCAAGTTTAGTTTTACTTTTCTTTTTGTTTCATTTTGAAAAGCTTGTTATCTTTGC